GAGGTGCCCCCCGCCCTCTCCCTGCTGACCCTGCGCTGTGGTGTGGCCTCTTGCTTTGTCTGCAGGAGCCTGGTCGTGGCGTCGTTGTCGTCCTCGGGCTCCGCACCTGGAGACTGTTTTTGTTGTGGTGCCCGTGTTATGACTACGGGCTCGTCGGGAGTTGGGGAAGAGAGTGGTTGCGAAGCGCTCCCCTGTTGCCTTCAGTAGGAAAAATAAACTCGGGGGTTATACGCGCACAGAGGCGAGCACGGAATTCACCGCGTTAGCATCGTCGCAACGCAGAAAAGATTAAGATACAAGAAGTAGCTACACTAGCTTCGAGTCTTAAGATGACGGGTATCTTAATTTCTTAATTTCTACATAAAGTAGACTTTTCCCGTTTCTGATGCGGTGAGTGTTCCAGCCTATGCAGAATTCCAGCCTACAGGGATTTGTTTTTCTTCATTGATATGGCTGGGTTTGGAATTCGAGGGGCTTTTGTTCTTGTTCTGCCTTCCATTTTCAATATATTTCTGTTTATTTATTGATTGTGTGCTGGAGGAAGAAAATGAATGCGCTTAGGCAGTTGTCATGGTTTCTAAAAGTACGTTAAGAGATGGGTTCTATATGTTAAGCCATCTTATCTGCAGTGTTTGTTTGGGGACCGTTTTAGGAACATAGTCAATTAGTCATTAAACCAAACCCCAAACAGTAAGGCAGCCTTTTAGCTCTTCAAGTGGAGTGCCTTAGATTTTATTGCGAAGTATGCTCATAGAAAAAGTGCGGATACTAATGTAGCATTACAGTCTTCTGTTTCCTTTTTCAGTCTCTCAGGAATTTCTCTTTGGTCGCAGTCTTGCTTTTGTCTTCAAAGTTTGTGTGGTATTTTATTTTTTCTTTTCCTTTAAGAGTCTTTAGCTTTCTTAACTAACCATGCTAGCTTACATGTGACTTTGTGTGTGTGTTCTGTTTTCTGTTGAAGACTCTCCTTCAGAAAAAGTTAGCAAAGGGAGCAAGTCAGTCTGCAGGATACTGTGTTTATATTTGCCATGGTCGTTCTTAGATATCACCAAAATTTGTTATGTGTTTCTGTTGTTGCATGTAAAGGCGAAGAATATGTCAAGTGAAGGGACACTTGCAAAGATGACGTAGGCTATAAATGGGTTTTATACAACTTCACGTTTATGTACTTTCTTAGAAGCCTTGTGATAAGGTCTGTGCAATTTCAGCTCATGGAAGTTACCTGCATGTTTTATAGTCTTGTTCGGCAGTGTTCTTTTCTCTGAGCCAGAGACTATACAGCGCACTTGGAAAAGTTACAGTAATGAAATTGGATTCCAAACTTGACTTACTGTGTGTTTGTGTGGCGTAATTATACTTCTGCCTTTCACCAGTTACTAGGCAATTACTAGCAGTGAAACAATAGCTGCTTTTAGTGGATGTTCGTATGCATGTCTTATGTTCTTATTTATGTTTTGGGTTTTTTTTTCAAATCCAGATTAATCAGCACTTCAAATGGAGGGTTCTTGTATTTTTCAAAGCATCAGAGTTTTAAAACATTAATTTTAGCACTATTCATTGGTGGTTACTGAACAAGACTTTTTCCTTATGTGTGTACACACAGCATAAATCTAAAGTTGGTGAACTTCATCAATATAGAGATACTTCTTTCCCTTTACCCGTGGTACAATTTGAACATAGAGGAAAGCTGTCACTGAATCAGAGGACAGTACAAAATCATTTTAGAATAAAGTTATGTAGGACTACATTACTGCATGCAGTTGTAGATGTGCTGCAGTCAGGATGTAGCAGCAACAGTGAAGTTCCATTAGAAACGAATATGTAGAAGAGGAAAGACAGCTTTTGAGGGAGAATACTGATGTAGTATCAGTACCAAGAAAAATGGAGTATCTTTAGGCTCAAAATGAAAACGTAGTATTTTTGAAGAGCTTACTGAAACATACTTGTACAGCTTACACATACTAAATACTAGCAAAGTACAAGGAGATTGGATTAAATGATCTCTAAGGTCCCTTCCAGCCTAGGCCTTTCTATGATTCTGTGAAAGTCAATTGAAAGTGATAGATACTACAACCTGTGTTTCTGTTTTCTGAGTGTTACAACCAGAGTTTTAATGATGGCGTAGACCTTCTTTTTGGAAACAGTAGCAAGTCCAAGTTTACTTGCTATATTGAGTATCTGTGGTGGAGTTTGCATTTTCAGGACACTCCCTGACTGCAGAGAAGTGCTCCTATCCTGAGAAGTAAATTAAGTCCCATTGGAGTTGCTGTATTCCAGTTAGAGTTAATTATATAGTGCCCTAAATTACCCTGGCTTTCTGTAGATTTCTGAGAAGATAGGTCAGAATGTAAAATTGTAACCAGAAAAGCTACCAGAGAGGTAGAAAATGAAGGTTTGCATAAAACCCCCACACTTTAGTTGCTGTTAATTCACTTTGTTTTATACTAACCTCCATTTCATTCATTCTTTTTAACCAATTTGCATGTATATTTTTGTTCTCTGACCACATCTATTTGCTTGGACTCTTCTCTTACTTCTATTTTTGCCATTTGACTGTTTACATTATAGGAAACAAAATAGCAGTAAGTACATTCTGTTTCTTTTAGGACAAAAGTTATACAAATTAAAAATGCCTGTCTCTTCCTTGGTATTTTGCCAGTGTTGTGGCCTGTGTGGAGGTCTGTCTTCTTCATTAAATCAATTTAGTCTCTGCTTTAGATGCAACAATACTGTGGAAAACATCTTCTAAAAGGCTGTTTAATGAAAATGGATTTGTGTGACCTGATGTCAAATGTAACAAAAAACAATACCTCACTTGATTATTTATGTTGACTTCCTATCCACAGAAGTAATTTACCTCATTCTTCCATGATGTTGGAAGAAGCTTTTTTTTTCTGGCAGCCGTGATGCAGAAGACCCATATTTAATTCAAAATGTTACTTTCCTTAAAACCTTGTAAGAGATAGTGAGGAAGGGGAAAAAAAAAAAGACAAGACACATGAGAGAAACAGCATTTAAAGGTGAAGTTGTATAGATAATCATGATGTGTAGCCATCTTATGAAGTGGATTTAAACAGTGCAAGATGATGCTGGTGAACCAGTTCCAGCATCTTTCCCCTTTCAATTGATGGACTATAATCAGTTTCAGCCCAGTTTCTGTGCAAGGTATATTATTCTTTCTTGGAGTTGCAATGCTTGCCTCAAAATGTTTTCAAATTGATTCTGTTAAGTGTGTTGTTTTAAAAATTGGCTGAACTTTGTTTATATTTACAGTTACAGTAGAAGAACCTCGTGGTGTGCTTATCAATAATTACAGTGTTGAAATAATAATTATTATGGATTAACAGCAATATTAGGGGTGCTAGCATGTGAACACTAAAGAAAGTCTAAGATTAGCAAACACAGAATGTGTTTGAGTAGTCTAGCATTAGTTATAGATTTTCTTACACTAGTTTTTTTGACATAGACATTTTTGTAGTATAAGTACTTATTTACTTGTGAGAAGGTACTTTGGTAATGTTGAAGCTTGTGGAGCTAGATTCATTAATGCAGCAGTATTTCAGTTACCCTCATCCTTACATGTTTCTTGCATGTAATTAGCGAGTTAATGGTACATGTATGTCTAGTCCAAGTGGGTTACAGTCTGAAAAAGTGGGGTTTTATGTCCTAAAGGATAGGGTTTGCATTTGTTTGAACTGTGTAGGGGCAGAAAACAACTGAAGCTCACAATATGTTTGCAAAACTAATATAAAATACTTAGTGCTTGGTACTTTTATCTCATGTATGTAATTCATCAAGATCAGAAATTACAAGTTTCTTTTAAAAAGACTAAAGAATGTTGGAATCATGACGTTTATGCTTCTATCTGAATCAAGCTGTCAGCTGACTTTCCGATGCTTCTTAATTGCTCCTTTATGAACAGATTATTCCATAGCTTTGGTATGGCTAACTAACATTTTCTTTAACTGCAAGAGACTGACCGGTAGAGTTTTGTTTTCCCTTGGCCAGTGTCCTGAGTCAGTGTGGCATGTGTGTGCAGTGGTGTTTGTTTTCTAACCGAAATAAATGGAAGCCTAGACTAAACTGTTTATTTTAGCATAGTGCATTCCTTTTCCTGTCAACAAAAAGACAATGTTACTGTGTGACAGGAAAGGAGTATTTTTTTTTTTCTACTATTTTTGAAAGTTGAGGTCATTGTGACTGTGGTTTGCCTAGCTTCTACAAATGTGATGTTATGAACATTTAAAGATAGTAGCTGGATATCTGATACTTCTGGTTAGTATGATGAGAAAATTATAATCAGAATATTTAGTGACAAAATACTGCAGCTTTTTTAAAACAACAAAAGAGGGTTTTTTTGTATTGCCACAAACATGTGACCTGTTTTGTTTCTAATAGCTGTAATAACAGGAAAATGGTGAAAATAACTTACTCTTCTTACAGATCTAGCGCAATATTAACAGTGTTAGTTTTCATTAGTAATCTGCTTCTGTCACTCTAGGAAAGCATTAAAGAAATTTGAAATCTTTCTTGTGTTTTTCTGATTTACCTTCCTCTCAACGCTGCTGAGAATACATCTGTGTAGCTCCTAACAATGCTTTTGTTTTGGCAAACATTACCTAATAATGTCTGGTTAGTATCATGTTTGCAGCTTTCCTGGTTCAGAACTCTTTATCTATTTTTATCCTTAAGAGAAGTGAACCACATAGTTCTTGTAGTCAGATCTGAGGTATCTATGCCTTCTTTTCCACTATCCCAAAATAAAATGTTTCAATTTTCGACATGAGAATTAAGTACTTTTTGGGTATGGTGTATAGCTGGAGGCAGATGTATAACGAGGAGGGGAAAAATCCTAATCTCTCATGTTTCACATCCATGTAGTCTCACTAGTAATTTATCTTTTCTGGGCTTTATTTAATTATTTAGCGCATGCTAATTGCCATAGCACATCTGTGTAACGCTTTCTGGTTTTATTCCCTCATGTCTTTAAAGCTGGAGTGCCTAATGCAGTTAGTAAGAGCTGGAGCTTCTGTAAATTCCTGTACAACACGTTTTGCTCAAACACCAGCCCACATTGCTGCTTTTGGAGGACATCCACAGTGCCTGAATTGGTTGATTCAAGTGGGAGCCAACATAAACAAACAGGTATGGGTTCACGTGTATTTTGTGTCTGCATTAATAGTTCTGAAAGGAGTGTCTTGGTCCCTTTTTACTACATGTATGATCCTTACATTCACATAGAGATACATTATTTTTTTGACATCAGCTAGGACAAACGACTTAATTTTCAGTTATAGACCTTTCAGAGACAGGACTAATAAGTGAGGTAGAGATAGGACTAATAAATGTCCTTTAAGCCACTAAAAGTTTGGAGAACATTTATTAGAGGAATTGGCATTTTGCTCCTTCTTGGACCAAATGGTGTGCTGCTCTGGTGTTGACAGCATTACCAAGTGCTTTAATAGTGTAATGCCTCTTTAGGGGAAGGAAAAAAACTAGCAAGGAATATCTTACTAAGTATGCTAAGAATTAAAAAATTCATTGTTATCTACAGAAGCATGAGACCTTTGTGGTACTTGATGATTTAGTCATGTGCCTAACTAGTAAGGTCTGCCGTAGTTTAAGGTGCATCTATTTTCATGATATTTTCCTTTTTAGATTATTTCCAGAACTTCTCTAGTAACTTCCTGCAAATAGATCAAAAACACATACTTTACTAACAAAAAATTAGTAGGCTATTTGTTTATTGAAAAATAATTTTCTGTTACTGTATGGATTGTGATTTTTTTGGTAGCAAAGAGTGCATTAATAATAGCAAATTTCCTGTAAAGGACTGTCATACTCTGGTACAGTAACAGAATCAAGTGCTTAAAACTATCATGTTTCTGCAGAAAACATTTGCAGGTCTGAATGCTGGGCATATGTAGAGTGTGCCTGTATAACAGTACTCAAAATTATTAGTGAGAGTAACTCATTACAGCATATGCAATTACTAAAAGCTGTAGAATAGCACAGCACCTGTAAGATGTCTGGTCTATTAAATCTTGCATCCTACTTTTCTTAAAATATTTAATAGCCAGACTGTGTTTTATATGCAGTAGAGTTAACCTAAGTCTGCTGAAGAACTTGAGCATTTGCATTTCTAGAGTTTGGTTCTTTTTTTTTTCTTTAAGCTATGCAAAATTAAGAAATGGGGAAGTTTGTGTTGAGTTTTCAGAAAAGAAGGCTGGTGCATTGAGAACAGCTGTGAGACACCAGGAGAATTGTAGAAACAATGAAGGTGACTGGATACAGAGGCTATAGATCGCATCTTCTCCTTGATACCTGACAAAAGTAACTTATGCATAAGTTATTGCCACATAGTGGTAGAATCTTCAGAAGAGAAAATACAAGAACTATAAATACATCTGGAGACAAGGTAAGAATGTAAAGAAACAGTGATTAGAGAGGAAACATGGCATGCACAAAATAAAGGTGTACAGATATCTGCTAAATGAGAAGAGAAGAATGAATGAAAATGAATGAATGAGAAGAATGAAAGTTTCCAGCTATGAGGATAAAGAGAAGAACTGACCAGTGAGGTTGAAATGGAGTTGAAGAACAAGCTTGCTGTCCTGGAACATGATGGGGGGGGAGGTAAAAATCACGTCTAGTGAGTGAAGTTATAGCAAAGAAGAAAGTAGCAGCTAGTCTCCAAAAGAAGAGGAGAAGAGTGCAGAGAGATCTCTCCATGGGCTGAGGGCAACATGCAGATGACTATGAAGGAAAGCAGGAGGCAGTGTAATACGCGGTTAAAAGTAGGCAGGAAACTCATTCTAGCTTAAAGAAGTCACCAAGACTAGCCAGTGACTAAGGAGTCTTTATAAACTGATGGCCTGTCACCAGAGCAAATCCAAGTAATAGATCTGTGGTACTCTAGAGGAGAAAGAGGACTGTGGTTTTCAAGTTTTCAGACATAGTGGTGATAGTGTCCTATAGCTTTCTAAGGGCAGATCTAGGTATTGACAGGCAAAGGACACTTAATATAGGTGGTGCTGAGAGCTGACATTGTGGAAGCCTTGTATGTTGTTAATGGTAGGCTCAAGGCATGCTTGAATGCAAAAACGTTTTTTTTCCTCAGCAAAATATTAATTAAACATACAAGAAGAGGTGTTCTAGATTTGGTTGGATTCTAAAATAAGAAGGTAGCTCTGGATAATTAAAATAGTAGTAGAAACAAAAAGGTCTCAAGTTCTTTGTTAAGATGTAACTGGTGAGTTGCACTGGTTTCACATGCACAAGCACTGAAAGATAGGCAGTGTACCTTGCTGATACTTAGAGCAGCAAACTCATCCCATGGATATTTGGAATGTTTCATACATGGTTACGTAAAGCATAGTGCATGCTTTGCTCTCCCCAGTTTCTTCCAGCTGTTTCCTGAAGTGCAGTCAAATTCTACTAGTCTTGTTTGATTTGATCTCCTTAATAAATTACCTTGGTTCCTTATTTAATTTCCAAGCACTTTCAAGTGATCATCTAGGGCTTCCACCCACACTTTTGAGCTTTTGGAGCACTATTTCCTGATGTGTATTTTGTTTATTCCTTCCAGCTCGCTGACTGATGCTGTACTTCAAACAGACATAGTCACTGGCTAATACTTGTGTGAGGACAAGTGTTCCATGGACACTGGATACAAAACACATGCTGAGAAAGATCTGGGAATACTTGATATTTAAACTAGTAAAACTTTCCTTCCAAACTGACTCCTGGTCATTGGCTACAGACTAACCCATCACCTCTGGAAAAGGAAAAGGATAGCTTCTGAAAAGGAATCCACTCGAGTCTCTCAGTCTTAACGTAAAACTCCGGTATTCAGTAGAATTTGCATGCACGCTTTCTCATATCTGCCCTGAGGTATTGTATCGTAGCCCATGCTGTCTGTTCTGAAGTTTAGGAAACCTTGAAAATGCATCCCTTTGTGCTGGTGACAATTTCCCAGGACATTGCTCAGGCAGCAGCAATGAAGGACACATGCTGAAAACTGCTTGTCCCAACTGTACCTTGCTCCCCAAATAAGTTCTGTGAGTATGTCCTGTGATTTCTGGCCCTCCTACATAACTATATGTGGTGGCTAGAACCATCTATCTCTCTTTATGATCAGTAGGCCTCCAGGGTCACCATAAAAATTCACAGGATAAAGCTGAAGTGCCAAGCAATGATCTACCATTTCCTACCAAGCAGTGGACTTGGGAGAAAGTCCTACCTTTTTTTTTTTTTAAGTGGGCAGTGGCTGCTAATCGTTATTAATAGTGTGACTCAGGAACTGCATTTGGCTAGCTGCCTGCTCTAGTTCGCTGTAACAGTACAAAGCAATTATACTACTCCTTTCCCTGATTTTTTTTTTTTATGTTTTATCCTTGTCACGATGCAGATTGCGTCTGTGCTGTTGTACATATTAATGTCAGATAATCATGAGTACTTTTTGATTAAAAGGCTTGTTAATTCGTTTAAATATATTTCCTTCTAGCTTCAGCCTAGTAAATATTTCTTTTGTATGTTGCCTGTGTTGATTGGCTGAAAAACAATTTTATGTCACCTGTCTTAAAGAGAAGGCATAAGAAATACTTCAAGCTTACAGGTGATGTTAACTGTTCAGCCAGCCAGTTGCCATCATGTGGCAGTGATGGCAGATGGATTTAAGAGGGTTAGACTATCCATGCCAGCAAGAACTATAAACACACTGATATCCTTGGTGCGGAGGAAGAAAAACACTCATTCCTTTGGTATGTTAGTTTTGTATTTTAAATAACAATGTGGACTAAATTAGAAACAAATATTCCATTGTTTCTCATCTGTGCTCAAAATTCACAAGGAGAAACAGTCATGAGTTCAAAGCATTTTTAGCAAAGAATAAGTAAAAAAATACTTGATATTTTCTAGCTTCTATTTCATGGCTTTGGGAAGGGAAGGGTGCTGGGTCTAAGCAATCTGAACAGCTTTTGGAAATGTGATCGGCTTATAGAACTTGACATTCAGTCACCTGAGATAAGGAATGGAGTTAAGTTGTATTTCTTTTCGGGTAAAATAGTATTTCTATGTCCTAGATACCTCTGCTGGGAGTAGTTTATAAGTGCTTTCATGGTGTTGTGGTTTAACCCAAGGACCACAGAGCTGCTTGCTCATTACCCCAACTTGCAATGAGTTGAGGGAGAGAATTAGAAGAGAAAAGTGAAAAACCTCCTGGATTGAGATAAAGGTGGTTTAATAGGTAAAGAAGGAAACTAAGTAAAACAAAACCAAGAATCTCAAGTGATAACTTTTTTTTTTCTTAAAAATCCACACCACAACTAAAAAATCCTGCAGTTACTCACCACTAGCTGATGCCCTGTCAGTCCCTAAGCAGGGACAGCCCTGGCAAACTCCTCCGCTTCCCCACCACAGCTTTTATTGTTGAGAGTGTTGTCACACTCATAGAGGGATGTCCCTCTAGTCAGTTGGGTCAGTGGTCTCAGCTGTGTCACCACCCAACTTCTTGTGCATCCCCAGCTTACTCATATTAATGAATTATCAATGTGACTTTGGTCGCAAATCCAACACATACTAGTAGTAGTACTGGGAAGAAAATTAAATCTATCCCAGCCAAAACCAGTACACATAGTTGAAGGCTTTTTGTGTAAATGTGCATAGGGGCTTTCTTGTTTAAAAAGAAATATTTGCAGGTAAGTAATTAGTGTTTGTTGGTTTGCTTTTTTGAATGAAAGAGGTGTAGAGGTACCCGTGAGTGAAATTAACTGAATCCTATCCAAGGACTTGGAGTTGTAGAAGAAAATAAGTTTGCTTTTAAGCTCAGCTGGAAGATCCTAAAGCCAACAGAAATGTGGATCCAAAAAAAGAAAGCAAGAAAATACAGTAAAAAATGGCTTTAGACTGAACTGAAAAAAAAACCCCGCATCTAAAAGAGGTCTGAGAATAAGCAGAGTTTGAGAAAAATATTTGATCAGTAGAGGAAATGTCTTTTGAGGTTAAACGACGTAGTGAGGGAATGCAAACTTATTAATCAAGCTGAGAGATTTACTGAGAAAATTTAAGCCAAAAAAGCAAAAGACTCTTCAACCACATAAAAAGGGAATAAGGAAGGAATCTAAATACTTAAGCAGTAAAGTGAACTGTAAATACTAACGCTGAACACAAGAGGCAAATCACTTCTTTTCTACTTTTTTACCTCTTTAACAAAAGGTGGGGGGAAGCAAAGAATCACATAACGAGGAATCTAAGAGCTTCCATGATTGGGGAAAATGTATTACTCCATGAAAATCTTCCCGGATAAAATAGTGCCAAATGAATTTCCCTGTATTATAGTTAACAAAATGGTGTCATCTGTTAAACATCTCTATCTTCCTGTAATTTCAAAAGCTATAAATAGGAGAAATTACGTGAACTTCACTGGAAAGCAGTCTTCTATTCATGATTTTGGAAGAAGGGCTATCTGGTACTTTTCTAATCACTAAGGAATTTTTTGCACTTTTATCTCAACTTTGTCATCCTCAACAATTTTCCTTAGTTTATAAGAAGGTAAACTTTGTCTGGTGCAATTATAATTCCCTGCTGGGTGCTAGGTGGTTCACTGTTTGGCTGAGTATATGTCTTAAGCACTGGTAGACTGATTTACCCTCAGTGAATTTATCACTTGTTTTAAAAGTATTTTACCATGAAATAAAATTGGCAAGTAGAAAATTGAGTGTACAACTCATAATCTAAAATTCATCTTCGGGATATTTTTATGTCTTCTAGTTTAAGCAATTTAATTTTTCAGAAGCTTGGCAGACAATGTAAAACACTTGTTACCTATCTGTCAAGATGATAGTATGATCATATTTTGAATATCTTCGCATTTCAAAGAGAGCTAAAACATAACCAGAAGTGTAGAGTTAAGTGTGAACACTTGTGTATGAAGTCTATCGAGTCAGTAAAGATGCTGTGTTACTTCAGAGAAAAAAAAAGTGTTGATACTTCAATAAAAGGAATGGGGAAGCAAAAATGAGGCACATACGCTTAGAACATGTTTAATACCAGTGGAGGAGAAAAGTGAAGTCTGTCAGAAGCTTGGAAAGGAGATGGGGAAGAAAGGAGAAAAACCCAAAACATTGCTCTGCATTGCAAGTGTTGAGGACTGTGATAATTAAATCATGTAACAAACCAATAACTGAAGACTTACTTGCTACTTCAGGGCCATATTTCTTTACAGGTTCTTCTCCGTGGTTCTTAATACCAATGGATAATTGCAAATACTGAATTTCATCTGCAGCCTGTAGACCGTGATGCATAGAATTTACCTGCTGCTTGCCAGCTGCATTTGGTGTCAGTGAAGATAGTTTGTAGAGATGAGTTGCCTGAAAAGCAGTACGCTACTCCTAGTGTATTTGCACATAATGTGAAAAGATTAAATGATTGCCTGTGCTGGTTAGCGGTAACAGAATGTAAGTGGATAAATAGTTGGAAAACAGGACGTAAATCGATGCGTGTGTCTCGGAAGAGATCTGGCCTGTCTTATGACCGCTGGGCCTTTGTGCATGTGTTACAGCAGAGCGACACACACGTGCTCCTCACTCGAGGAGTGTTTGTGGCACAGCACGGTACTGGTGAAGTGTGTTGGCAAGATCCAAATGAGATACAGCCCCACTTGGCCATGCTCCTTCTGAATTAAAGATGACTTGCTCAGTCCAACACACTGGGAAGCAGAAGTACTAGAAAATAAAGATACTAGAGTAACTTGTTACGTTGTGGGGTTTTTTTAACAAGTTCTGCCAAATATGACTGATGATTGTCTGGTTATTGAATAAGGTTTGTCTCGTGAGTTAAATGCCCTTAGCATTATTTCTTGCCAAGTATCTAATGTACATGACGGTCTACTGCAAACTTTAAAATAATAAAGTACCTGATGCATTTGCTAGCTAATAAATGCTGCTTTTATATATCTGCTTTCTTAAGTAATGTAGAAATTTTCATTTTTTGAAAGATTATGCTTGACAAAATGTAGTTTGTCTTTACAGGATTATGTTGGTGAAACTCCTATTCATAAAGCAGCACGGTCTGGTAGTATGGATTCCATAAGTGCCCTTGTGGCTCATGGTGCGCAAATAGAGTAAGTGAGGTATTTTTTCTTGTTGTTGGTTGTTGTGTGTTTAGCTAACTAACTTAGACCAGTAAGCATAGATACTAATGTCAGAAAGAAAACTTGAAAACAGCAGACACCTGATTAAAAAGACAGCTAGACATGTTCCCCTCTAATGAAGCCCAATATGTTTCACATGTCTAGTAAAGTTGATTTTATTTGGTACCAGTGTGCTACATTAGTATTGCTTTTATATCTGATATGTTAAAATACTTATTATGCTTCTATCAGGTGACCCCGTATTGTACACTTTCTTTAGCAAGTAGTCATTTTTTTACAACCAATTGCACCTTGCACTGGTGATTAAATATAAAAAAAAGTGCAAAAGCAACGTGATGTGCAAAATAACATCTCACACACTCTTCAAACTTAGTTTAATATTGTTTGTTAGTATATTGTGTATTTGCCCTGTTAACTTTTTTCTTTAAAGGTTTATGTACTGCAAAAACATTCAGAAAATCTCACAAACTTTTGCAACTTACAGCATGGACAAAATGGATGCAGTTTTCACCTAGAAATGTTGAGTATAAGCTCTATGGCTTATAATAATGTAAATACTTTAGCAATTTGTTTTAATTAGAACTAGCCTTGTTATCTTAAATGGTAACTAGTTACTGTATTTTAACCTGCAATATGAAACTTTTAAGTTGTAAATGAAATAAGAATCATGTGGTTAACTTCTTGTTTTACCCTTTGGTTTCCATCTTACTGTTTTTATAATGCTGCCCTGACAAACCTATAAAATTTAACTCTTTTCAGCAGTATCATAGAGTATTCAGAAAATACAGTACCTTATAGTGATGAACAAATTGCTTTATATGAAGAGATTGCTTCATAGAAAAATGACATTAAAATTACAAGTTCATGCAATCAGTCTTAAATTTATAAATTCCTGTTTTGCACTCACTTTCAGATATCTTAAGATAAACTTGGATTCAAATTTACTGTGGAATTGAGCAAACCTTAATTATCATCATCAATTAGTATATAATCTTGTGATTTTTACAAAGTATCCAAAAGAGAAGATGTGGAACTGCATAAACAATGTGAAATGAGTGAGTTTAAGTCTGATGAAAAGAAGAGGATGTGTTACACCCATAGGACTTTCAAATCAAGTAGCTCAGTAACTGAGATTGGAGATGTGGCTGCAACTTTAACTTTTAGAACTGAAATTTTGATTTTTAAGCATTGTATTTGCAAGCCACAGGCAAAACATTTCTTTGACCAGAGCTATTTGCAACAGAAGTCGCGTAGGTTTATAGCAGTTTTAGTGAACAGGAAATAATTTGAATTCTCAGTTTTCTAACTTTGAATTCCATCTGTGTTTCAGTAGGATAGACTTGCCACCAGTTCTGTAGGTAATTAAATATCAGATCCTGTCCAGGATATGGTGAAATTAGGGATGCAAAGGCATTAGGCTGGTGGAGCAACCCATGCTTAGTCATGTAGAATATCAGGACTTGGCCCCATCACCTGAGAGAGCTAGCTGTTGACTGATTGGGGTGAGGATTTTTTTCCACAGAATGTAGTTTCCAGGCTTAGGATTTGGAATTAGGCCAAATCCATGGTTATACATTTGAGATGGATTAATTTTGAGTTATCTGAGTTTAAAAACTAGCCTTGTATCTCTAATGGTTATGTTTATTTCGTGATTTTTGTACCATCTTCAAAATGTAGATGCTATGAAAGTTTTGTGTCCTTCACTTTATGGCTTCAATTAGAAGAAAAGAAGAGGGATTTTATCCATATATTTGAGTTTTAATTTGTATATATTAATTGAAATTATAATTGACCATATAGGACCAAGGCAAGAATTTTATTAAATACAGATCTAAGCACTATCTAAAACTAAAGTGCTGATCTTTACTGATGGTGGATATGGCCTTTTTAAATAGGTATTAGATCTTCTAATCCATTCTTTTATTTCTTCATACAGTTGCAGTATTAAAATCTAGTTCTGTGAAGATGCAGAGAACACCCTTTGTGACTGCAAATAGTCAAATTTACTGCTTATCTCTGACGTTTGTAGTATACATCAAGTACTGCACCATCCCTAGTTTTTCAGAGAGAGTAGAATAGGAATGTTAAGGTTTCATTATTGTGCAAACATTAGTAATCAGTAGTGTGATATTGCAAGAAATGTATTTTTTATTAATGAATGATGATTGAAATACTGCTGTTAAAATGAAGTACCTTGGACTAGCATAGTCTTTTACCTCAGTGTTTACTGTGTTTCTACTTTACTCACTCTTTTGGTCATATTGGAAGCCAAAGAGTATGGATGATAGCGCAGTAAGGATGAGAGGAAGGATTTTAAACTAAATTACCTCACTTGAATTGTTCCAGTTTATTTTATTTCAGGCTTGTTAGTGTATTGCTTTTACAAAGAAATTTGGTATGTTGCAGTCTCGAAATTTCATTAAGTTATTGCATTGTTTTTCCTAATTGATGAGAGAGAATTTGGGTCTCTATTCCTGTGTAAATTTTTAATAATATTAAAAAATAATAATTGTACCCTAGTGAAAATATTTTGATTTTTTTTGTGGTATTTACCTTCTCATTTTAGCTGAAGCATATTCTGTGCACAGTATGTCCTACAGCCATAAAAATGGTTGCTCCACTAACTATGGTATTCATGGACCCTTGAAGAGGGGGAAGCAGGTGGTCACAATGTCCTCATATGAGTGAAAAGGTTTGCTGTGTAACTGACTTTTTAATGTGGATAGTACCTTTTAAAGTATCCATAATAAAAATAACTGCTGGATTTTCACTAAGAAGCATAATTATGTGCTTTATGTATGGTTAATTGTGTATTATTTATCTTGGTGACAAACAAGTGTCCACAGCTCTTTATCGAGGAAAAGCCTTCTTGGTGCCATGTTTTGTTTTACTCTTTTACACTGTTTTTTGAAATGCTGGATATTAACGTAGTTACATAGATTGCATCATAGCATAGATATAAAATTCAGCTATAAACACAGGATGATACTGAATTAAAAAAAATAAGCAGATACAGCTGTTAATTACACTGATTTGAACTCACTTCTGCTTCCTGGCTGTTCTCACGTGGTTCACTTGTGCCTTGTGTCCAGTTAGTAGTTCTGCGGCTGTCATTTGAACAGTTGTGTGTGGCTCGGAATAGGACTGGGAAAGAAGTTTCAAACCCTTGTCTTATCTGGGGATTAAGAGAGGTGTAACTTGTGGGCTGGGATGTATCTTGATGCCCATCCATCCCATTGAAGAACAGCACTTGCTTGCTTCAGCGTTGTTGTTCAGGATGCATAGGAAAGCTTTTTACTTCCCTGATGGAAGTCTTGAATTTTTTTTGAAAAATTGCTTTGTGTACAGTTGATGGGGTGCTGCAGGACTCCAAAGAGACGCTTGCCTTTCTGGTTTCTTTTACTCTGGTCTCCAGGTTTGGGGACAGTGAGTGACATGCTGAGATAAATATACCAGTACATCTGCTTCTACCAGATGACAGATTTATATCGTGATGTTGATCTAGTTTAGGCAGACACTTCAGCTGCTTTCTCCTTAAAGCTGTTTTGCATTCATTTGAATGTGTAATTTTGCCCCTTCACTTCTACTTCTATAATGCCGGAAACGTCCAATCTCTGGTATTTAGTTTTTCAGCAAAAACTTTATTCTCATTCTTTGACAGTGCCTCAATTTTAGTTCTTTGCAAATTCATATGTCGTGAACTGCATTGTGTTTAAAAAAGAGAAAAAGCTTCATTACTTTCTTCTCCACAGCTGTTCGCCATCCTCCGTATCAGAAATCTGTCCCACGTGGATTTTTTTTTTTTCAGTGCCACTGGACTCACTTTGTGAAATTCTTGTAATACATTTCTATTTGGAGTGAAGCTGTTTCACATTTTAATAATGGCCATTCCTGTAATATTTTGGCTTTTGTTCTCATTTGTACTTTTGAGACGTCTTGACTCTGTGAAGTTCAGCCACCTTTACTGAAGAGATGGAAGAAGAGCAATATGTAGACTTATGATAATGCAGAAATCAGCCATTCCTGTGGGTTTTAAGCCCACATTTTCTTTTCAGTTTAGAGGGGAAACATGCATGGACTCTTCTCTTGATGGGTCTAAGTGATCAGGGATCTCCATTAATTTCTGGATTTCATCCTGTTTTCTTAAAATCTTAGCAGATGCTTGCAGATGTGTAACATTTTTTTGGTTTTCGTATTTGGCTAACTTAGCTACCAAATTTTTAATATTGAGCTGCAGTCTATTTCGTACTTATGAAACGCTATTATTGTGTCATCTTTCTACTTCAGAAGCTGTACTGCTACATTGATTCAGTGTAGATGAATCAACGTCCTACTTTCTTACAGTCATTAACCTCATCTTGAGAATAATGCTTTGGGTTTTTACTGGTTATTTGTTTAGGAATAGAATTCAGGTGCTTTTTCAACAGAGGGCTTCTTACTTGTTAATTATTATACTGATATTCATGTAATCTGCTCAATTCTTTTCAAACTCAGACTGCTTCATACACTACTCTGTCTGCAAACCTGATTGCTCTCTGGACAGCTGCTGAACTGCTGGATTAACTGCTGCTGTTGTATTATCACACAGTGGAGTATAGTTGAGGAAAAAATGTGTCTATTCTTTCACTGTATATGACAAACATTGTAAGGGCCGTTAGTAGTATTGTAGTGACCGTTCTGCAGTGTGAAGGCTGCAGGTCTTGGAATTCGTTCTTCCTTTCCTGCCTTAGGTAAACTCTTACTGAAAGGCAAAGTCAAAGAGGTTTATGCATTTTGGTGGCAAAACTCCATTTGTCCTGCAAAATAATAATGAAGTGTAAAGCTTGCCAAATTTTTTCATGCTTGATTGCCATAACTGTAGAAGAACTTAACATGGTTTGCAGGAGGTTGTGACCATGAAGTAAAGCAGTAATTTTTGGATTTAGTCTCAAAGACTGAAGCAGAACATACATGCCTGGATAACTGATAAATCAG